AAAAACTTTAATATAAGTTTAACACAACAGCAAATATACAACGTTTCGACAACGTTTTTTCATCATCAAAATCTTGTCGAAACGTTGTATATTTGCTGTTGTGTTAAACTTATATTAAAGTTTTTCTTCATTACCCATTCAAGCTGTCTCCAACCATTATTAGTCTCAAAGTGGGTTTCTCGTCATCAAATTATTTGTTGCATATATTTATGCCTATTGCTGTTTACTGGGACTTATGATTCAACGTTTATTTTATGTTCATATTAACATTTTCCAAATGTAACGGAAACAGTAAATGACAAGCAGTGGCACTTTTGCTGCTAAATATGACAACGATGTAACTTGTGTGTGTTTCAAATTATTTATTGCATATCATACTTCATTGAAAGCACCACATAATATATATATATAGTTGCGGAGGCGCTAAGACCAAACATATTTTTGTGAAAAAACAAAGAATTGTGAATAGGGTGTTTTGCTGCAATACGTATATATTTTTCCTGGTATGTCATACCGCAATTTTTTTCTATTTCCTCATCAGTATGAATAACGTTGAACTTTAACCACTGAGCAGAACAAGTCTTTTGTTTGCTCCTTTTCTTTCTCTAGGTTGTCGTTTTTGTACACGCACCCCGTAGACGAAGTAGCCAAAACTATCCAGGCTTAGGAACTTCTGAGTCTGGAGTTTGGTCCGTTTTCAGGACCTGGGAGGTCAGATGCTTTGTATACCTCTTTTTTTTTTCACTACCGGAAAGTCGGTATAAACTCTATTACTTTGTTTTTTTTTGTGTTTTTTTCACTGATTCTTAAGTAACGTCTCCTTACTTTGTTGCATTACACACGGTATATTAATATATTGATGAATATCCGCAATTATTTTAGTTTAATAAACCTTTTTCAGGACATGTCCATTTCATGGGCTAATATTAGCTTGTAAGCTTTCACCATGCTTCACTAATTTACGATTGCACTTTCAGTCCTGTACCTACTATACAGTTCCACTTTGTGCACGTTTTCACAAACACACAATTCTGTTTTCACATAAATACCTTTTTAGAGCTATGTCTGCATCTAAGATTAAGTTTGCCTAGCGCTATGCGGCCTATTAACGTTTGATATTAATGATACTTAGCGGAGAGAGGTACTTAGGACTAGATTTATCGTGTATGACGTAGCTTTCTAAGTTGCTCATCAGTTCATTTTTACCCATGTTTTTCTTGTAGTATTGAAGAGAGTTATTTAGGAGTCTGTCAGACAGTATCGGAGTGTATGAATAATTGTGGATAAACATTGTGTTCGTTGAATGTGGAATTCTGTATGCTTTAGCTGGTATACATTTTACATTTTCTGTTGTTTAGTTGTGTGTGTTTTGAAGACATTTGGCTAAGCTGTACAGGCGCATTCAATAATTGGTTTTATGTATT